AATGTTTTGTCATTTTATTTTGTTAATAATCAATAAATGGTAACGAAATAAAATGGCAAAATGAAATTATTCTGTGTTCTGTTTCTATGCAATTTATATTGTGAATGACGTGGTGTGTGCAGCTGCGCCAACATGTTCAATTGTTTCGCGGTGCAATTTTCTCCAAAACAAATGCAAATAATGTGTTTGCTTTACTTATTTATTTTATTGTCTCATCTCTTAAACCCGTCTTTCATTTCTGAGATTTGACGGTATCCGTGGTCAGCTTCCTACTCTCAACTGGGAATGCGAGTTTGATTTTAAAGACTCTGGAAATTATGTGTCTTGACCAGCCACTGGTGTGTGTGTGTGTGTGTGTGTGTGTGTGTGTGTGTGTGTGTGTGTGTGTGTGTGTTGTAACAGTATATCTCACAGTAAGATCAGAAAGGTACACAACAACTCAGTAGACCACCAGGGTCGTGTGGGTATCCAAGTACAAGGCAAGAAGAGGAACTTACGTAAAGGCAAACGCCACCAGCGCCCCACTGACCACTATGAAGTCCAGAATGTTCCACAGGTCTCTGAAGTAGGATCCAGGATGAAGCAGCAGGCCCAAGTCCACCATCTGAACCACAATGAACGTGTTATGTTACTGCAGGGTTCCCGCACTTTTCCCACCACCAAGTTCAAGCATCATCAAGCTCCAGACTTCTGAGATAAAACAGTCCATGAGCACACCTCACTGTGATCTGTTCATTCCTGTTATTAACAGGGATGATCCTATCTGATCACAGGATCAGAAACCAGGCCTGATGGCGCCGTTTTCAATTATCTGAATCAGGTGGAAAAGGTTGGTTATAACCTTATAAATCTGAACATCTGTCCCGTCAGAACCAGACCAGATCCTGCAGTGAACCCAACTCCCTGGTGACTGAAGGGCCAGTGCAGGAAAACTGAGCGCTTGTGGAAGAAAACCCGTCTCCCTTAGAGATCCAGAGTTGGGACACTCCCCCCGGCTTCAATAGAAAGAATGGAACGCAGAAGTAACCTCGGCCATGGAGCTTCGATAGTTCCACCATTGAACGCTGTTCATTCTCGCTGTTTCAGCTTCTGATGTCAGAGAGAGGGATGCTCACGTCCTGAAGAAGTCTGGAGCCTGCTGAGCTCACTGAAGAGGAAGTTCTTTATGGGTCTCGTGAGACTAAAACACGTCGATCCCTGACTGAAAATGTTTGTGCAGGTAAAGATATCACACAGTTTTCTGTTATTATGATCTCTGGCTTTAATAATTAAATATACACTCAATAAAAATATAAACAACACCTTTGTTTCTGCTCCAATTTTTCATGAGATGGACTCAAAGATCTAAAATTCATTCCAGATACACAATATCACCATTTCTCTCAAACGTTGTTCACAAATCAGTCTAAATGTGTGATAGTGAGCACTTCTGCTTTGCTGAGATAATCCATCCCACCTCACAGGTGTGCCACATCAAGATGCTGATCCGACATCATGAGTAGTGCACAGGTGTACCTTATACTGCCCACAATAAAAGGCCACCCTGGAATGTGCAGTTTTGTCTCACAGCAAAATGCCACAGATGCCACAAGCATTGAGGGAGCGTGCAGTTGGCACGCTGACAGCAGGAATGTCAACCAGATCTGTTGCTCGTGCAATGAATGTTCATTTCTCCACCATAAGCCGTCTCCAAAGGCATTTCAGAGAATATGGCAGTACATCCAACCGGCCTCCTAACCTCAGACGACGTGTAACCACACCAGCCCAGGACCTCCACATCCAGCAGGTTCGCCTTCAAGATCGTCTGAGACCAGCCACTCAGACAGCTGCTGAAACAGTTGGTTTGCATGACCAAACAATTTCTGCACAAACTGTCAGAAACCGTCTCAGGGAAGCTCAACTGCATGCTCGTCGTCCTCATCGGGGTCTTGACCTGACTCCAGCTCGTCGCCGTAACAGACTTGAGTGGGCAAATGCTCACATTCGATGGCGTCTGGGTCGTTGGACAGTTGTTCTCTTCACGGATGAATCTCGGTTTACATTGTTCAGGGCAGATGGCAGACAGAGTGTGTGGCGTCGTGTGGGTGAGCGCTTTGCTGATGTCAGTGTTGTGGATCGAGTGGCCCATGGTGGTGGTGGGGTTATGGTATGGGCCGGCATCTGTTATGGACGAAGAACACAGGTGCATTTTATTGATGGCATTTTGAATGCACATAGATACCGTGATGAGATCCTGAGGCCCATTGTTGTGCCGTACATCCATGAACATCACCTCATGTTTCAGCAAGATAATGCACGGCCCCATGTTGCAAGGATCTGTACACAATTCTTGGAAGCTGAAAATGTCCCAGTTCTTGCATGGCCGGCATACTCACCGGACGCGTCACCCGCTGAGCATGTTTGGGATGTGCTTGACCGGCGTATACGACAGCGTGTACCAGTTACCACTAATATCCAACAACTTCGCACAGCCATTGAAGAGGAGTGGACCAACATTCCACAGACCCCAACTGACAATCTGATAAACTCTATGTGAAGAAGGTGTGTTGCACTGCATGAGGCAAATGGTGGTCACACAAGATACTGACCGGTTCTGAGTCCCCAGACCCCCAATAAAGCAAGAAAGTGCACATTCCAGGGTGGCCTTTTATTGTGGGCAGTATAAGGTACACCTGTGCACTGCTCATGATGTCTGATCATCATCTTGATGTGGCACACCTGTGAGGTGGGATGGATTATCTCAGCAAAGCAGAAGTGCTCACTATCACACATTTAGACTGATTTGTGAACAATATTTGAGAGAAATGGTGATATTGTGTATCTGGAATGAATTTTAGACCTTTGAGTCCATCTCATGAAAAATCGGAGCAGAAACAAAGGTGTTGTGTTTATATTTTTGTTGAGACAAAAACATGCGGCCAGCTAATATCTAAAAATGACCTATGGACAGCAAAAAGGTCACAGCCAAGATAGCACATGTATCACACTGGATGGCTGGCTGTGGTTGAATATGGTGTGGCAGGTCAAAGGTCATGTTTTCATCAACATGAACAGAAATTAACTTTTATTTGCAGCCACAAGCTGCGTCACACATCCAGGGACACATTACATCTGTCTGGCCTCCAGACCAGAGAGCTCTGCACCAGTCCTTGTTACCAGTAAACCAGTCGTAACATCTTCAGCCAAGGTCTCATGCAGAAGCAAGCCTCCTGCATTTTTCTCTCTGAATAAAGTTCATCCAGCTTGAATTATAAATGGCTTTACATAGGTTGAAATAATCAAATGTGCTGAATGAACAAGATGTTTTAATATATCAGTACACTCCCATCCATTATAATAAGGTTATTATTAATGTTTAACATCCACTTCACATACATGTTTCAACATTCTCATCCACACAGTGTTCACCTCTCAGAGGATCTGACTGGAGGCCTGACATGCTGAGGTGTTTTGGTAATACCCTCAAATGTGTCGGATAAAACAGGAATTACTCTCTGATCTAGCTGACTCCCGATCCGGCCAAATCGGTGCACAAGCACTTTGAAACCATCCTCTCTTTTGACCTCAGGTCAAAACATTACTCAACAACGTTTGGTGTTATCACACACAGCGGCTCCTATTAGAGCCACCGAACAGCCTCAGATGCAAAACAAGCATTCCAGCTTCCTGTCGTGACCTGGAGATGTCTCCAGTCTAGATGGGTCTTATCTGAGCTAATCCTGGTACCTAGAGGCCCATGCCATGGGCAGTGTCCATCCTGACCTCTTGACCCCTGGATCGTACGAGGATCTCCACACAAGGCTGCGTCGACTCAACACAAATTGCTTCGGATGGTTTTAGAAACAACTCTCAAGCTTATCAGACTATACTTTACAACCCAGACTCCACAAACGGTCAGCTACTTAAGAAGGTTTTGCTAAAACATCTAGCTCCGTTCCAGCGTGTCAGCCACACCTTGACCTGTATAATTATTAGTTTAGGGAAATAGAAATAAATTCATTTTTATGAACTATTTACTTGACTCTGTCTGAATTAATATGAAGTGAGTTTTTAGTTCCTGAGTCAGCAAAATAAACTAAAATCTTCTTCATTCAAAGTGAAATCTAATTGATATTCAATATTTATATGAAAGTATCACATCTTGTGATCATTTAATGTGTATGTAGCCAATCCTTAACGCTACAGTGGAAAGTTAGAAATAAGTAATTAATGACAAGTAACGAAAAGTACAACTTGGATGTGCTCTACTTTTCCGTGTAGATGTTGATCAAAAATTAAAATGGCTTGCTACAGTACTCGGGTGTGCTTTCCCGCCAAAGGTGGTGTACGCGTTGGCTCGCAAACTGATGCCATGAACAATGAGGTGCTTTTAAACATAGCTGGTATGTTTAGCTATACTCCAGTCTTAACGTTATTACTGTAGCGTAACAGAAGGCCAAGTATTTTACTAGATTACTTCAGACGCTGATTTTATCCCAGAAGGACCTGCTGGATCCCAGTCCCAAAGCAGGACTCTGACCCATGTGACTAGCACACCAGCTTCAGGCTTAAGCAGGTCTGCTCCGTAGCGAAGCCAGAGGACACCGCCGCTCCGGCGCTGGAGTCTGCTGCTCACTCGCGGGTCTAACAGAGAGGATCCGACCCATTCAGGGCAGAAGCGAGGCTTCTCCCAATCGTGTGTATAGAAGGCTACATTATCTTTCTCGGGTTCTTGACGTTAACAGAAATAACAAATGATCTCGACTGTTTTTAAAACTTAAACACAACATTGTCTGATTATGAAGCATTTTCAAGGACTTACGACAGAAATCAAGTACTTTCCATACTTTGAAAAAGTTTAAATTCAATCATTCCTGTACGAACCCTGAAGTCTAACTGAGAGGATCGGAACTGTACACACACACACACACACACGCACGCACGCACACACACACACACACACACACACACACACACACACAGCTTGTTTAACACAACTACAACCCCCCGTGTGACTGAACCAAGTCAGATGTGAGGTCCTACTAAAGGAAACGTTGGAACAGGAGAAGGCTCTTGGTCGTCTTCGTGCGTTAAAACCAAACAGCGTTAGTCTCCAGTCGGGAGTTCCTGTAGAAACGTTCTTGTCTTCATTTCAACCAACTAAAATGATCATTTAAGATGTTCCACCTTTACAACATTTATCTACTCAACCAACAACAGCAACCTCATCAACAGCTCCACATGATTGATTTTTAGTCAGAATTTGAAACTAAAGTTAATGTAAAACTAACAAAAGTCCAAAAGAAGGCCGTTCTGAGGACTTACTTTAATCACCATTTCAAAAGTGAAAACACCAGTGAAGGCATAGTCCAGATATTTGAGTACCTGTAGAAACAGAGAAGAGCAGGAAGTTATTAATGACATCATACATCTCCTACTTCACCCTGTCTTTGGGGGAAGTAGCTTTCTAAAATCTGCTTCAACTTCAGGTCCTTCCTGCACTGAGAGGATTCCTGTTATTAAATCGGTGACATCTGTTTGCGCTAGCTCTATGCGGCTACCCCAGCTAGGTGCCTGATGATGGGCAGTGTGAATCAGGGAGGAAATGCTATCAACACGGTGGTGTGATGCTGTGTAGAGATGTTTAATTGTTATTGATATTTCTCAAAATAGAGTTCAAATGTCCACAAAGAAGTATAAACTGAATGAGTGAAGAAAGTGGTATTACAGGGCTGTTAATTATTATTTTATTTAGTATTTTTAATAAGTTACTTTCATTTTTGTGTTCAGAGCAGAAGTCCAAGACAACAGCGGTGAAGACTCATGTCACCAGACTTTGCTGAATGAGCTGCACAAATATTGCTGATAAGCTAAATAAAAACAACGAAAAGGCAAACGTCTACGACCTTCTTGTCCTACAGAAGTTTTCTCATAATAAGTCGTTAGGTTTAGCTTTTGCATCAGGTTCACTTGGCGTTTCATTAGGAAGAGGGCGGGGCAGGAATTACACAGAGACTTCCGGGGCAGCCCAGTGAGAACGGGGGGGTTGTGTGCCTTGGCCCCCGAAATGCCTTGAAACGGCCCTGGGTGTTGGACTGAGCTGATCTGAATTATATCAGATATATAAATATTACTTGCTTATAAATGATTGCTTTAGTAAGGTAAAAGGTGCAGTGGGACAAAAACATTTTCCTTTTCAAACACTTTGTTTTGTTTTCTTGTTTTTTATGTGACTACTGTCCTGTCTGTCTCATCTCCCTGCATCTCCTCTCAGTCCCACAGAAAAACGGCTGCCTGGCTTCCTACATTTTCAACTCATGAGTTACTGTTGAATTAAACAATTCAAAGGGATCTACCAATCACAAAGATTGGCAGAGAGCACGCTGCTTGCCAGCTGCAGCTGTGTGAGGTCCAGGCGTGTTAATAAAATGATCATAGATGTTCCTGTACCAGCAGCCAGAGCACTGTTGTCCTCACAGCCCGTTAGCTAGCTGAGTGGGTCTGGAAGCTTTCTGCTAAACAAGCTTTGAGATGTAACTTGCTGATCGTGTGATAGAAATAGACGTCCCGAGGTTTCATTTTGTTAGCTTGAATCGCAGAGATGCAGGTCTGGTTAGTGATTGCAGAAGTTATGTTGCCCTCCTGCAATGCACGGATGTGTGTTATTACCCGGATGTAAACAATATGGAGCATAAGCCACGCCCACCTACTTCTGGAATATGGGTGCCCAGAAAGAAGAAGATGAATGCAAGTGAATGGGGCTAAGAGCTATTTTCTAACTGGCGTTGCCTCACGCCCTGAATTTAAGATTTATTAGCTTAATCAGAAATTAAAATGACTACAAATCAGAAGCGGCATAGGTGAGGTCGCAGTTTGATGACATCAAGTTTGCCAGACGAGCATTTGTAGTCCTACACGTTTTTTCATACAAAACCTAAAATAACGATGGCTGCCGTTCCAGAATGAGCTCTTTCTTGGCATCAAAATTGATGCACATCATATGTGAATTTCATGCCGTCTCACTGGCTCCACTGCCAGGTGTCCTGGATCCAGCATCCTGCTCTTACACCAAGTCCAAAGTTAGCTTTAAGTTACCACATTTTAGTCAGGTTTTATTTTGAAAATTGCAAAGTTTGCGTGGTAAGTTACACAGTTTTCAGAGCCCGTTTTGTGCAAAAGCAGCTTTATAAATGAGAACCCTGGTCTCTGTGCCTTTGATTTTTATCTGGAAAGGCACTAAATCAAAAAATAATTCTTCTGGGGAAAAGTCACAAAACTGTAACCTCATTTTGAAACGGATGATTTAACTGTGAGGTATATAACCACAGTAGCACCTTTGGGTGTGCTCTCTAGCCAACACATTAACAAGAAACACAAAACAGTTTCGATTTTCTCAGTTCTGCTCCCGTAACCGACGGCCAAACGGGTTAGGGTTGGACGGTCCAGATCAACCAAACACATATCTCACATTGTTGCGAGGAGCGTTTGTCCAGACAGGGTCTTCTGCTGCCAAGGCAATGCTGCTCATCGCTATGACGACCAGGATGGACATCTCAAAGTACCGTAGGGTCACAATATAGTGACACAACCGCCTCACCCTGACAGGGCAGAAGTAGAGAAAACAGCAATCAGCTGCAGAAAATCTCTATTTTTCATTTGAAATTTGAGACTCAAACACGGATATAAAACGATGTTTAAAACCAGAGAAATTCACTGGAAGAGCAAGTCACCCCCAGCAGAGTCTAAAGGTTGGTTTATGCTTGACGCGTCCGCGAGGTCCGCACGGCTCCGCATGGAAAAGTTGTGTCATTTTAACAACCACGCCCCTCCACCGCGTCTCCGCACGGCCCAGAATTTCCACAACGCGCACCTCGGAAATTTTCTAACCACGCGGACGGACGGACGCGGAAAAACATGGCGGACCGGCAAGAACTAGTATGGCAGAGGTTGGTAAATACAGACATGTGTATGATTCGGCTCTCAGAGATCACCGTGATCAACATGTTGTTAATGATTCTTGGAGAGAAATAGCTCGCACTGTCGGAAAAGACGAGGACGCTGTTAAAAATGCTGGAATGCCATGATGTAAACAGTAATTTTTACTTCTACTATGGTGTAGTGTTGGATGCATGCCGTAGAGCTCCATGCTGCCCCCTACAGTCTGGGAGAATATTGGCTCACCGCAGAGACGAGCCGCACGAACCATAAACGCTGCGAGTTGTGAAGCGCTTTCCATCCGCGAGCCGCATCACCGCGCGGAAAGTGAATGCGTCAAGCATAAACCAAGCTTAACTCCACCCACATGTCTCCTCACCTCACATGTCCTCAAACACACACACACACATGAGAGAGAGAGAGAAACCGCTGCAGCCGGGAGGATTTTCTCTCCAACTCGTTGGTCAGAATAAAGGGAGGAAGACGTTTTTCTCGGAGCACAGCAGCTGTGAGCTACATCGTTCAGTAGCGGCTTGTGAGCGGCCGAGCCAGCTGGTCAAGACTCGGCTGCTTCGATACCGCACAGCGGCGGTGCAGCAGACGCCACCGTCGCTGTTTTGGCTAATAGCGGTGTCTGATTCAAATTCAGCACAGAGCCGAGTTTTAACCTGAAGAGGGCGCTAGACTGGAGGTTTTAGGCAGAATATTCACATTTTAAACAGGATGCCAAAATAATGACTACATGTGTCCACAGCACAGACACTCCTTTAACAGTTCATCTGCAACTAAAGGGTTGACTTGGGGGTGACTTGCTCTTTAACGTTGTACAGACACCCTCAAACAAACGGCAGTACTAACATCTGTTAATACATCTTCTATCACACACGTCAGTTCAGACCAGCTAACAATAATTCACATGAATTGGAATTCTTAGCTGGGTTGGTCATCTACAGGAATGCTCTGATGTGTCACAGTAGGCATGGCGTTATCAGCCCGGACTGGTGGCGTGTGCAGGCCTGCACCGCAGTGTCAATCAGGCCGAGGTGACTCACGGGTTGCTCTGTCCAAACATGAACATCGAGCTGTAGGGTAAGATGGGTCTGGGTCCAGACTGACACAGGTCCTCCAGGTTCTTCTCATTCATAGGCATTGTTTCGCCGTCAATGCTGTTCACTGATGGAGCAGACACAGAGAGGCAGAGCGTCACCGCAGCATGCCAGCAGTCATGCGACAAGCAGATTCACAAACACTGACACCAACCAACAGCAGATAAATGTGAGCAGTGCATGGACCACGGATTTGGTTGAAATAAAAACAAGTATTTTGGTAATTGCAGGTGAAACTGGAAACACTAGAAAGTTCATTTATGTCACTAATTCTCAACCTAAAAGGTGAAAATAATTCAGGAGGATGCAGCAGCGGAGGACGGTGTCGCCCTCTGCTGCTGCATCCTCCTCACCGATGACACGGTCCCATGAGAGATCTGTGTAGACTCCATCCTCTCTGCTCATAGCTCCGTGCCCACGACTCCGTATTTCCATGGCTTCCTTCATCCATCTTTTATGTTTCTGTTGTTCCGTGTTTATGCTCCGTGTTCTGTTATGTGATTGGCTCTTGTGCAGCTGTCGGTTACGGCTGACTTCTTTGTTGTGCTTCCTGCTTCTTGTGTTGCTGCTTGACTTGTTTCCTTCTCACACACCTTTCTATGTTCTATTGTTGGTGTGTTGAGTTGGTCTCCGGGTACTCCCATGTATGTTTTATGGTGGAGTTTGCGTGGGATTTCATGTATGACTCCACACGTCTGTCCTGATGTCTTTGGGTGTCCTAGTCTTATTAGAACTGTTGTGTGCGTGTTCATGTTGTGTTTTTTCATTGCTGCTACTGTTTTTCTGTAATGCCTCTGATGTATGGAAGAGCTATCACTGGTTTTGGTTCTTGTCTTTCTGGATTTCTGTTCTTTTGTTTATTATTGTTTATTGCCCATGTCGGGTATCCGCAGGTTTTTAAAGCATTATTAAATGTTGGTCCTCTTGTTTATTGTCTTGTTCTTCTGTTAGGTGAGCTCTGTGGTGTAGTGCTCTGATCACTGATATTTTATGTATGGTGGGGTGTTCTGATGTCCGTAATTAATATTGCTGGTTTCCTGGATGTGTTTCTCTTCAGGGCACGCCGCTCTGTCCGCTACTTGTCATGTCCATGAAGGTGTAACAGAATGAAATGACTGTTTTCCACCTAAAAGTCATTTCCCCCCCTCTCCTCAGCAGGAACTAGTCTGCATGAGATATTGCTCAAGGTCTCATGCTCTGCTTCTAAACTGTTTCCTTTCCAGCGCAAGAGAAGAATGAAGACAAAGGACTCTTTCTTTTTAATAAATCAAAGAACTCTATTTTTAATAAGCTAATGAAACAAAGTGTTAGTCAATAATAAAATGTGAACCAATCTGTGAAATGTAAATATGAATTACTTGATATTATAATCCTACAGAATATAATAAGCAATATAACTTTAAATGTTTCCACTAGAGACTGATTACACGAAAGGTTAAGACACATGACACATTGCTTTACTGATCCAATCAGAATCTTCCAGATCTGACGGAGGCGTGGTTTTGGTGGTGTTTGGTAAATCTGTCATCTTTTCATTCGACCGTAAACCAAAACATCCGAGTTATAAAACTATGCCCACGTCATCTTTAACTCCAGTTCAAAGCGTTCTAGAGAAGTTGTTGGAGTGGCCAATCCGTAACTTTCCTCTTCAGCCGAAAGAACCAACGACAAGCTGGATAAATCTGTTGCTGTTCCACCTGCTGCAACGGTTCCTTTCAGAATAAAAGCAGAACCATCATGACCCCGTGTTGGGTCTTGTTAGATGCCAATAAGACTGGTTTGAGTCGGCAACCGCTGCTTTTCCTACCGGCTTCGGATCCAGAGAGGGTCAAGCTGGACCTCAACATTCCTGATCTAACAGGGACTTCCGAAAGGGTACGTAGACCGACAGAATGGCGTCATAATGTGTGTTATGAATCTTCAAATCAAAGCTTAGCGCAAATACATCACCTTCTCTCCCATCAGAACTAATCGTTTCTCCGGATCTGCTGGTTCTGAGCAACATTCCACACTACACCATTCTCCGTCTCATTCACCTTAGTAACACCATACATTTAGTGTTAAAGTTAGTCTAGTTTTAATTTGTTTAGTAATAAATCTTTAAACTTTTAAAACTTGACTCTCTTCTGTTGTCTCTGAGTGAATACTAAGTGGTTACATAATCCCTGCAATAAAAAGTTCCAATCTTCTGGTTAAAAGTACCCACAGATCCATAAGATTGATTTCATATTTTCTATGGAATCTCATGTCTTATGGTTTATTAAATAACATGTAAACTTAATCATTACAAAGGTTAAGCTACCCTCTATTCCTTCTCCATGTGTACATGTGTTTTATGTTGTTTGTGTTGTCGATGTTATCCAGGTGTTCTGTTGGTGTCTCCATTGGTGTGATTTCTAGTATGTCGTCCACACAGCGTTTCCATAATTTTACTTTGCAGTGTGTGTGTGGGGGTGGGGGTGGGGGGGGTGGGGGGGGGGCAGTAGCTATGGCTTTTTGTTCTAAGTCCTCCATGAATAACTCCCAAAGGGTGGCTGATAACAGATTACCCATGGCCAGACCATATAATGGACTGGGACAGAGCAGTCCATTATATGGTCTGGCCATGGGATCATAAACACTCAACGACATTACAAAGATGGATCAAAGAAGCTATGGAAATAAGGAGACGTGGGCATGAAACCAAGAGCAAAGACGATGGGGTCTACACATTAGATCATGCATGGGACTGTGTCATCAATGAGGAGAGCAGCAGAGGGCGACGCCCTCCTCTGCTGCCCGTCATTAGCGGCTATCTCTGAAGAAGACCACAGGAGATGCCCAAACTGTTGAAATGAGAACCAAATAATGCGATCAGAAGAAACACGCAGAATGAATGCACACTATAATCTTCAGCTGCTTTTTAAAGGAGACCACTGAGTCCACTGATCTCAGGCTCAGGGGGAGAGAGGTCCAGAGTCTGGGGGCCACAGCAGCAGATGATCTGTCACCTTTGACCTTTAGCCTGGTGCTGCACAACCAGTAGGCTTTGGTCACTGGACCTCAGGGACCTGCTGGGGGTGTAGGGACTAAGAAGATCACCAATGTAAGATGGTGCTTGTCCATGTAAGGCCCTATAGACCAGAACCAGGATCTTGAAATGAACCCTGAAGGTGACTGGCAGCCAGTGAAGCTGGAGGAGAAGCGGGGTGATGTGGGTGTGTTTGGAGGACTTGGTCAGAAGCCGAGCACAGGCGTTCTGAACCACCTGTAGACGGTTCAGGGAGGTTTTCCTTTAGGCTCAAGGTGTCACTCTCTAATCAGCTAATGAATCCAGAACACCTGCAAAGGTTCCTGAGCCTTTAGATCAGGGGTGTCCACTCCTGGTCCTGGAGGGCCGGTATCTAGCACGTTTTAGTGCTTTCTCTGCTCCAACCCACCACGTTCAGTGGTTGAGTCACCTGTGCAGCAGCTCATCAGGCTCTGCAGAAGCCTGTTAATCACCTGCTGACTGAAATCAGGTGTGTTGGAGCAGGTTAAAACTAAAACGTGCTGGATACCGGACCTCCAGAAAGAGGATTGGGCCCTCCTGCTTTAGATGGTCTCTCAGTCTGAGCTGGATTACTGACATGAATTCACTTTTGAACAGCTTTCTCTCATTTTTGGCTTTCACCTGTATTTGTGATATCTAGTTGTCTACGTTAGTCAGAGATTCTCTTCATTCCTAACGTCTGATTCAAAACCAGCTGAATCCAACTGGGAATGTTGTGCTGGGACATCCCTCTGGACAGCGGCACCACTGGCATCTTTTCTTCAGGAACATTCTAGTTGAGACTGGATTCATCGATCTCACACGGCCAGGTGGTACTCACTCTGTATGAAGGTGGTCCCTCCAGGTGGGGAGGTGATGGTCACAGGAGGAGCACGGATGGAGGTTTGGTCTGTTCGTCGGACATTCCTCTGGTTGTCAGAGTCCTCTGGACGGCTGGGTGTCCCCTCTGAGCCCAGCTGCTGGGTGAAGGACTCCCCCTCAACAAACCTAGTCCAGGAGCAGGAGAGGCGTTTATTCATCACCCCAACATGAACGTACATCTAGTAGACTTACGAATCTTAGTTTCTGTTTGTTGTTTAAACACATTTGATTCACAAATCTGTAATAATGACTATATCCTACTCCTCCAGTCCATCTGGGATCTACGAGTGTAGGACAAGCATTAGAAACATTCCTAAATCATCGTAATGATGATAAAGAAGAAGATGACCTTTGACCCTAACAATGGGGACAGACTGGGTTGAGTGATCAGACCTGTGAGCTCGTGTCTTCTCCTCATTTGAATCTTCTCCTTCTTCTCTGCTCTGGCCTCTAGACTCATGAGGACAGTGCCTCCTCCTCTCCCCGTTGGTCCCACCGTCTCCTCTGGAGCTCCTGTCCCCATCCTTGTTGGACGGTCGTCCATCTTTGTGGCGGGGCCACCACTCTCCCTTCCCCCCACTGCTCACAGTCCCATTCCCCCCTCGGGACTGTCGATGTGAATGATGATGGCGATGTTCTCGTTCACTCGTGACCCCCCCACCTGCACTCTTATCCACTGAACTCTGATGATGGTGTCTCCTGCCCCCTTCTCGGCTGTGTGACCTCTCACCTTTCCCCTCTTTGCTTCGACTGGAGTTGTGGTGTTTGGAGTGGCTGTGATGGACGTGCCTCCCAGCTCTACTGCTGTCGCAGTTGTTCGCCTCCTCGTTGCCTTTGGCCCGATCCCGGTCCCTGTGGCGGCGGTGCCGACGAGGATGAGGAGGAGCTGGAGGTGAATCAGCAGCAGTCTCAGCTTCCTCTGAAGTGCAAGGCTTGTTATGGTGATGCTGGCACCCGCACAGTGAAGGCCCATCACAACGTCCCACAACCAGGGGCCGGTCCAGGTGGGTCTTCATGTCTGGTCGGACGTGGACGGCGGAGGGCGGGTGAGCCGGCTCCTCCGGGTCGTACAGAGCCTCGCAGCTGGCCTGGTTCTGCCTCCGTAACTGGCTGGCTCTCTGCTCCCACACAGACTTGCTTTTAGCCGGCCTCTGCTGCTCTTTACTGAGGAAGATGAGAGGAACAGGTAAAGGTGTTACTGTGTTATGATCTGTTCCTCGTACCTCTGTGGTCAGCAACAGCTGTTTTAAATGTGCCGTACAATTAACAGAGTTATCACACAAACTCTGAAATACCGTCTCTACTGGACATGGATCGTCACGCATCTGTTTATTATTATGTTCGGCTTGCAAAGCCCCTTTAATCCATGTGAGACCTAATCCCTGTGTGCAGAACCATTTGTAGTATGATCGAGGAGTGATGACGCTCCACAACAATGCAGGAGGAGTTCTGCTAACCCCAGTGGGCCGTGGAGGGTTCGGGTCATAGCTGAGAAGAAGGCCAAGCATGGCGCCGTGACCATGCTTTGACTCTCGTTAGGCATCCTAAACAGGACTTATGGTAATGAGAAGCGCACGTGCCACATGACAGGATGATAATGGAAACACTGAAATCTTTGAATTCTCGTTTCTCAGATGACCGCCTGGAACATCACCGACCCAAATGAAATAGTCCCGGGATGACCCCGACTTTGAGGACCGAGAGCCTTCACCAGGAGAGCTCGTGTGTTCGCCACACTTTCTGGACAACATCAGTATGATGCCAGCGCTTTAACCTCTGCTTAAACACCACAGATACTGATACTGATCCAGATACTGATACTGATACTGATACAGATACTGATACTGATACTGATACAGATACTGATACAGATACTGATACTGATACTGATACTGATACGGATACAGATACTGATACTGATACTGATACAGATACTGATACTGATACAGATACAGATACTGATACAGATACTGATACTGATACTGATACAGATACTGATACTGATACAGATACTGATACAGATACTGATACTGATACTGATACTGATCCAGATACTGTTACTGATCCAGATACTGATACTGATACTGA